ATAAATGTCCTTCCCCCAGTGTGCCTCACTTTATCAGCATGTCATCTCAGGTCTTACTTTAGTGAGGTGTGAAGTGTGACCTTAGTCATTGCTCCTTTTAATTTCTGTCCTTCTCGCGTAGCATTCTAATGAAGACTTCCACTCTTACACACTGACTCCAGCAAAATTCTGCCCAGAAGAATGCTGCAAGGAGTCATAAAAGCTGGGCCTCCCGCCATCTTACAGCAAGATTGTCATAAAATTAAAATAAATAACTAAAATAAAAGCATGAAATCCTCAAGACATGCATGCTACTACTCAAAGTGGCCACATCCTGTTAGGGTAAAATCCACAGTGGTGCAGAGAAACTATACAATGCTCTCAGCACCTCTTTAAAGCCTCAGAGCGAAACCCCAAGTGCCTAAAATCTAAGCAGTTGTGCTGTTTTGGTGTGTATTAGGTTTGTTTTGGACTAATCTTCCTTCCCAAAGCAGGAACAGTTCTAATACATCTGAACTGCTCCATTTACAGAGTCTGGAAAGGCATCCCCCGTGTTTTACTTGTGTAGTGAAGAAGAGGTAGCACGGATCACCTCGTGCTGACAGCACCTGTGCTGAGCCATGATGGTAAGTGCATGGAGAGGCTGAAGGCGTGCACCAACACACAGGTCAGTCAGTGAGAGAAAGTGAAGCACCAACAATAAGTAACATTATGAAAATGTGGCAGTGGCAAAACATTTCTAACAGGTTTTTGCTGATGTATATTAGTCATTCTGCAATATATGCCATCCAAACAGCTACCAGGGTGTCAGCGAACAAAGAATGTAAGCCTTGGAAATTTCAGAGGGTTTTGTTCAAAACTGCTTTTGTGGGGCAGCAACGTGAAAATGTGAGCAAACATCTGCATGGGGTGTTTTCATACTGGAGAGTAAGATTCTTGTCCTACGAGTCAATGCCTTCTTGCCAGGAAAGGCCATCTCTAAAAGGCCAAAGCAAGGGCAATTTAAAAATGGCAAAACAGACATTTAAACTGGCTCAAAAAGGAAACGTTCTTAGTTTGAGATCTTGATGGCCAAGTTTCAGGATGAGAGCGAATGAGCGAACGCCTACAGTTCACGAATGACAAGAAACAGTGATTGCAATAAGAAATCCTACCCCGCCCTTTGCTATAGCAACACCAGCATACAAGTTGTCTTCTCGTGGAAAGAAAAAGAGACAAGTATGGTTGTCATCTACTTGGTAATGCAATGTTTTCATTGAATGTCCCTCACATGGTCTCTCTCTTATGTCCAGAGCATGAGCATGAAGATATTTTCACAGAATGAAAGCAGCAGTTACATAAACTGTGCTTTTTTTGATTAACAGTCAGGCCTTGGCAAGTGTAGTTACTTTAATTAATTATAGCCCGCATGTAAATTGGAACTGAAATGATTAAACCAGTTTGAAACCACACTATTTGTTATTGTGAGGAAGTCCACCCATGGGCATCTTGTTGACATTAGATGTATCATTTTGGATTTAATTTGAGGCAATAAAAGCCAAAATTCCCAAAACACAATGTACATTAAGCCAAAGCAAGACGTTAACCCGAAGAAGATGTGGATTTTAATATCTGGAGGCATTCAATAGAAATATTATAGATTATTTAAAATTAATCCAAACATAGACTGTCATCGGTTTCTTTGGCTCCTAATCATCTTCTGCAAGTGTTGTTCACAGAACAGGGAGCAATGTCATTTTGAAGATGCATTAATCATGATTAAGATTTGCTGTACTTCTTTCTGCATAGAAGGCCTCAAAGCATCACTGCAGAGGTCACTTCTCAAACCAGCCACTCCAACTCACATGTCAGATATTGAACAGATTACTCAAAGAATGCAGAAAAAAATTGCCCCTCACCACCAAGGCACGTGATCCATAATTCCCCTCTCAATAAATCGTTATTCTTGAAGAAAGAAAGGTGCACTCTACACGTGGTGCAGATATCAGCGCTATCACATCTGACAACTGACAGTGTGTGATAAGGAAAGATGACCTACAGTCCTGAGCTCATCCCAAATGTCTCTGTGTTTGTATGGCATTCCCTAAGCTTTGGGTTAAAGAACACAACAGCTTCAATTCACACCTCCACACGTGTCCACAGAGGATATAAATATAGACCAGGATGGTCCAGACCACATTTACTCTTTGACTTGCTGTTTCCCCAAGAGCATGCAGTTCTGAACATGCAAGACAACACTATAGCAGAGCTATCAGTGTATTACAAAGTTAGCCTGCAGCTGGGTAGATTTATGGTTAAATTATTCTGTGTATGAAGAACCAGCTACCAGTCTGTTGTCAAAGCTTTTCCTAAATGGCGTGAAAAGATTAAGAGCAAAGCACAGGCCCAGCACTGGGGTTGCAGGGTGAAGGGGAAGGTTTTATAGTATTAGGCTCAGACTCCTACACTGATCAACCATGCAGTTAAAAATCTTTAACTCGATTAAAGCAATTAGTCCGTGCAATAGTTTGACTTGATGCTGAAAAAGGCTTGTCACTTGTCTTGTTTATAGTACTCAAGAATACACCTGGAACGTGCATCCCTCTAACATTTCTAATCTGAGCTGCATAGCACTGCCTGCTACACAGTCAGCTATCATTCAGTGTTTACGGAGCAAAGTGCTTCTTAACCACTCTTCTTAACCACGCATTTCATCTAGTCCCTCACTGTGCTCTAAATAATGAAAAAACTTTTTCTCCCCAGTCATCTACCTGCTTCTATTCTGACATATTATTTTCCAACCCAAATGCATGGATTTGGGAGAAAGCAATGCATGCATCCTTCAGAACAGCAAACCTAAGGGTCTGATTGCTTTTAACGTGCCTTCTCCTGGACACAGCACAGGTTTGCTTTACTATGTCCTAGAATGTAGAAGATCTACCCTGAAGCACAGGTTATATATAGAGCTCAGCATATCAAAAACATTTAAGCATCTCAAGCCACATCCTCTCTCATTGCCCTTCACCTGAGACAAGTCATGCAGGGTGGCCTAACCCCTTCCTTTCAGTGGTAAACTGCAGCAAATCTGCCAGTGCATGGCTCCAATGCTCCTTGGGAACCCACTCAATTCTCTACAGCAAGCAAATTTGCAAGAAATCTCCTATAGCCCTGAGGACGCTACAGGAGCTTTCAATCACTTGTGTAAGTGCCTGATACAAAGAAGGGGTCAGTTAAAGGAGGAGGTCAGCAGGAGACACGGATCTGCAGCAAGTTTCTGATGATCTTAGAATTGTTCAGTAAGAGGACCCCAGCTGAGATTCTGATGTACCTGTGTCCCGTGCCTCTCAGCTCATCCAAATTCTTTCTGGACTACAAGTGAAGCAGGAAAATATAACACAAGGCTGCAAAGCAGATCCTGGGGCAGTGACCCAGGACGTGGCTGAGTTCCTCCTTTTGCCACAGCCTCCCCAGCGTGACCGCGGGCCAAGCTGCTAAGAGTCACAGTTCCTCATCCCCAAAGCTGGGACAAGGGGTGACAGCAACAAGATTGCAGCATAGGGGGACTGAGGAAAAGAGGAGATCCTAGGAGGCACCGTGGGCTGTGTGGGACAGGGGAATACTTCAGCACCTTTCAGAGAATGGTGCTGAGGGTCATGGACTGTGAAGAAAAACAAGTCCATGTGTGCACTGCAGCAAAGGTACAGATGGGGAATTTCTGCACTTTCGCTGTACAATATTTAGGGCTCCACAAATCAAAGAAGGTTGTGGTGCACTAAATGTATCCTGAATGAGGCCCAGGTTACTTTTGCTACAGACCTGAAGAGGTGGTATGGGAGACGTGTCTTATTCCTGCCATAACTCCCAAATTTTGTGCTTTCAACACTCCTGCTTTCTCTCTTCCTTTCTGACATCTCCCCTTTTGTTCCCTCTGTCTTTCCTCTTTCCATTTTCCCTTCCTGTCCATCTCCTTCCCTCCTCACTTCTCTTGAGACCTTTCCAAACAGTGCACTTGTCACAAGCTGCAGTGTGAGGGAGAAAGTTTCAGTTCCTGCCAGTATGCAGCTTCTTTCTCCCCAGGTCAGCAGAAAAAAAAAAAAAAAAAAAAAAAAAAAAAAAAAAAAAAAAAAAAAGGGAGAGAGAGAAAAAGAAAAAAAAAAAGAAAAAAAAAGGGCTTTTAAGAAGAGATCAACACCCCACCCAGGCGATAGGCATCTTTCGAAATCCTCCAACTCAAACACACCCACAGCGTCTCTCGCTTCAAGGTTGCTGTTTGAGCTACTTCTGTGCTGTAGTGCTCCCTCAAGAAGAGCCCGTAAGCACTGCACAAAGGTCCCCCAAAGCATGAAAGCAAACCTGCTGCTGCCTGGCCCTGGAGAAATAGCATAAGATATTTCAAGGGACTCGGAGAAGGCTTGGTTTATCTTTGCAGAACCTGAAGTTTTGATGAGGGTGAAAGGAGGGGAACCATTCTCTAAGCCCCAGCAGCGTCCTCGCTTGCTCAAGGCCACCAGAGGTTGGCTATGTTCGTGGTTTTTTTGCCACACTCTTTGCTTCCCCTTCCCCTTGCCTCGCCCCAAGCTAGGGTGATGTTTCTCCTCCAAACCACCCAGTTCCTTGGTCCCTCCAGAATTACTAGAGGAAACGCCCGGACAACCAGCAGAACCAGCAATGCATTTCAGACAGGACCAGGCGAGGAAATCAGAGCCGGCTGACACCTAGACGCCAGCGGCACACATCTGGGGCCAGCCCGGAGCCCCGCTGTCCCCAACCATCCCCCTTCCCGGCGGCCCCGAGCAGTGCGGAGCGACGGGCCGGGAGCTGTCACTGCCTTTCCGCCGCGGCCCCGAGCCGGGCACGTCCCCGGGGCTCACCTCGGCCCCCTCCGCCCCGCCGCGGGGGCAGGAAGGCGGCCGGCCCCGCACCGCCCCTGCCTGCGGAGCCCCGAGTCCAGGGAGGCGGCGGGAGAAGCGGGGCAGCCCGGCCACGGAGCCCTCCGTGCCGCGCCGCTCTGCCGGGGGTCCCCGTCCCCTCCCGCCCCTTACCTTAATAGTGCCGTCCATCTAGAATAACTTCCAGCCGGTACCAGCAATATTCCACACATTGACCCGGTTTAGCCTGCAGCTGAAGCCTCCCGAAGTTTTTATCCGTCTCTCTTTCACTTTTCTTTCTGTCTTTCCAGGGATTTTGCTTTCCTCCACTTATCCCCTCGCCTTCTCTCTCCCTCTCCCTCCCTCGCTCTCTCTGCCGCTCTTTTTTTAACTTTGGTTGTTGCAGCAGAGCGAAAAAGAGACAGTTAACCGGATGAAACGTTTTTTTCTGCTAATTTTGGGAAGTGAAGTCACTCTTTCGTCTCTCCACTGGTCCTGCCTTCTTGATCAAAATATATATTTTTTACATACAGGATATTTGCTCCATTTAGATAAGAAGGGGCAGAACAATAGCTACCTCTGTCAGCTCTTGTTTGTCGTAGTGCAGCCAGTCCAACGAAGACCTTGCCTTGCACCCCAGACGTATTAGCGAGCACTGTGTGTCATCCCACAGTTTAGTTTAACATGTTTTTTGCCTTTTTTTTTTTTTTTCTTTTGGCTGGAGCAGCTTCTGCCTGACTCACTGAATTTCCGTCTCTTCCCACAGATTTTTTTATTAATGCGTTTTCCAGTCATAGGCAAAAAAAGTAAGGGGAGAAAACCGTAAATACAACGCAGTTGGAGCACGGAGGGAGAGAGAGAGAGAAAAAAAAAAAAAAAAAAGCAAGAAGGAAAGAGGGAAAGGGAGAAAGGGAGAAAAAAGAGAAAGAGAGAGAGAGAGGAAAGAAAGAAAGAAAGAAAGAAAGAAAGAAAGAAAGAAAGAAAGAAAGAAAGAAAGAAAGAAAGAAAGAAGGAAAGAAAGAAAAGAAAGAAAGAAAGAAAAGAAAAGAAAAAGAAGGAGGGAGGGAGGGAAGGACGGAAGGAAGGAAAGAGGGAAGAAAGGAGGGAGGGAAGGAAGGAGGGAGGGAAGGAGGGAAGGAGGGAAGGAAGGAGGGAAGGAAGGAGGGAAGGAAGGAGGGAAGGAAGGAAGGAAGGAAGGAAGGAAGGAAGGAAGGAAGGAAGGAAGGAAGGAAGAAAAAGTAAATCCTGATGATCAAAATGTATTTAAAATGTGCTGTGGCCCCACTTCGTGCCTATCCCAGGCAGGGCTGCCAGCAAGGAGTGTGAGATGGGGTCCAGTCCTTGCCAGAAGGGAGCACTGAGTGAAATAATGCAGGGCAGACAAACGGCTCCAGTAATTAAACGCTCTGGAAATAGGGCTGCGGGAAAGTGGAAGCTCTTTTTCCACTTTCACCCCTATCTCCTTCACTCCCAGTCGTCTCAAGGGCTGAGACACTGGGCTCCCAAGTAAAGGTCCTAATATCAATGGCAACCCACCCATTACACTCCGGGGGCTGGGAGCACCTTTCCCAGCCTCCTTTCCCGGCGCAACCTTCTTGCTAAGCTGTTAAAATCCCACTCAGATGGAAAAAAATATACATACAAACTTAAAAAAAACAAAAAACAGGAAAAAAAAAGACAAAAATTTACAGTAATTGACAGGTCAACTGAAGCTTCGTGTCAGTACAAGCATTGCAGTAAAACCAAATCAGAACACCAGCCTTTAAATCCCACTTTCGACTGGTGAGCTCCTGACATGCAGCTCTGCCTTTCATTCAAACGGGAGTGATGGCTCCAAAAGAAACGCGCTTTCCTTTTTCCGGGCAAGGCTGAAAGCCTCCGAAGGAGCCGAGGAAAGGAGACAATAAGCGCCTGTCCAGCTCCACTTCCCACCCCTCCCCTTGCAGAAATAACAGGCAGCCACCAGCGGAACACATCATGCAACGCTTTGGGCGTCCTGTGGTCCCCACTTCTGCAAACTGCTGCAGCCCGAGAAGAGACAAGAAAGAAAGTGACAAGGCAGGAGGACGCTCCTGAACGTCAGATCTCTAGGTGGAGGACATTACCTTGTCCAGTGCCAGCTGTGTCCAGTCTTTTTGTTTCCCCTGTCCTTAGTCCAACCACGGGGAGTAGGGGGGATCAAAATATATCCAAAGTTATTCTGCACCCGCCCTTTCCAAAAGAGAAATGCGATAATGCCACTACTGTTTCTACTCGGCTGCTGCAGAGATGCCTTATTAATACTTTATTTCTCCGAGCCCGAAGCTGGCAGGAGTGAGCTGTAGATTCCTCTTGCCCCTCCCTCCCCTCCCTCCCCCCTCCTCTGAAATTAGTCTCATCAATTCAGCTACAATTTGGGAGTTCAGATGCAGACACGGGACTGAACGTGACCAGACCTGAAGCTTTGCCTTGCCGCTTGCCGGCGACTGAGGCCGCCTGCAAGCAGGAGGTGAAGGCGGAGGGGCAGAGGGGACAGACCGGCCGCCCCCCACCCCCGTCCTCCCCTGTCTGCTTTACAATCCAGGGGGCTGCGCTGGGGTCCCCGGAGAGCAGCACATCTGGATGCTGCTAGCGGGGTCAGGTCCCCCCTTGCCTAGGGCCACAAGAACTGGAGTTCAATTAAAAGAAATCGCTGTTAACCCTTTGCTTGCCTCATTACTCTTTTTGTCTTTCCCTCCCTCCCTTCCACCCCTCCAGCTACACTCTTCTCCACTCCCCCTTTAGCCTTACCGCATGGCTGCTGCAACCAGAAAAGCCAGAGGTTAAAGGGAAGAGTGAAACGCATCCTTTCAAAATCCAAATGGTTTCCTCTCTAGACAACACTCTCCACCAGCCCCGAAAAACGGCAGAAATGGGGAGTGCGGGAGGGATCTTGACCTCGAAAGGAGGGGGGAAAATACCGTGGAAAGAGCCTCTTTCATCCACGGACCTCACGGAGCTCAAGGATTCACCGAGAAATCACCTGAAAATGTGGTCAGTGTTGGAGAGGAGTCCTACATGTCCACAACGCCAGGCTGCTGAGGTAAACCTGCCCAGCCCTCGCAGTAGCTCCCCAGTGCTCCCAAAGACAGGCAGATGTCAAACATCCCCGGCAATAGGAGCACGACTCTGCATTTTATTGCCAGAAGGGCACCGTGACACTCAGGGCTTATTTTGCATGTCTGAGGGCGACTCAAAATGCAGCACGTTCGGGTCACCCAGGTTGGACCCATCAGATAAGATAACGAGCGAAGTTGCTAACCATTATAACGGACAAGCTGAACAATCTACTCCTTTCCTCCCAAACAACATAACAATTTGCTTCATCTCCCACTCCCCTGGGAAAAAAAAAATAAGTAAGAATCCCTTGGAGTTAGCTCAGACATTAGGAACAGGCTGGAATGTCCACCGGCTCCGTGCGCCAGGCTTTGCATCGCGCGAGGTGAGCGGTGCGCTGGGTGTGCCGCTCCGCTCTCGGATATACGAACGTATATCCAGTAAAGGAATGATGATCCGTTTAATGTGGTTACCAGCAGACATCTGGAAAATCATTTGATCTTGGCAACCGCGGAAGATTTCAAATGCTCGCACTGGGACAGGCTGGTAGAAATCAGTTGCTCCTCGATTATTATTTTTTTAACTGCGTTTATGAATAAAACGAAACTCTCGTCCGATGGTTTTAATTGTTTCAATATTGATCTCAAGTGCTTGGCGTGTCCCCACCTCCTCTGTTCGTCCTTACAATTGAGCTACAGGCTGAAGCCACACACGGAGGTAAAAATGCCGGTTTGTGTATGAGGACACATTGGGGGCAGTCAGAGATTATCTCACATCCAGTATGAAAGGAGTAACCCTCACGTGTAGTCCAATGCCAGTTCTTCTCGGGAGAACATAGCCTAAGATACGGCTCCCTAATTCGCGCGAGATTAGCGGTCATCATTTAATAATTAAAACCACCTAGTTATTCCACAGGAGGAATAAGCATAAAGAAAATCTTCTCGGGCCTCGAGTTGGAAACACTCTTTTCGGATGACGAAAGGGGGTCGGTTCCTTTCACCCTCTCGTGTCCCAGCAGCATCAGCTGAGCTGTGCCCATCCCGCAGCCCGGGGCTGTGACCAGGCGCGGGGACACGGCCGGGGAGCGGCTGCCGTTCGGATCCCGTCACGCAAAGTGACCGTGACCACCTCAAGTTCTTAACTAACTTTCTGTGTACACGTGTCTGCGTCCCCTGAGCTGGATATATTGAATACATATTAAACTTTCTAAATATACCGTCCTCTAGAAAAGCATTTACGATGTTTACCATCCTCCTTTGCCCGGGGCTGTGTTCGCAGAAGGCCAGCGCCTGTTCTGCCGCAGTCCTTGCCGGAGGGAAAGGCTCCACCAACTTCAGCCAATGTTTGAAATTTCCTGCTCTCAGCTCCCTCTGGCTTCATCGCAGAATGAAAAACGCAACGTGTTTTGTTTGTTTTCTAAACCCAATTCTTACAAGAAAAAGCCCCAACTACAGCCCTGGGATTTGATCCCCAGAAACGAATCCCACTTTAAACTAATTGGGCAAACCTCTGCTTTTCAGCAAAAGCAATAAAGAGGATGCAGTAGAGTTTTCTAGCCCTACAGCACAACGATCGGGTCCCTCCCGGTCCATAGGAACAGCCCATGGGATTTGGGAACTTGAACCCAGAAAGTTACTCACTGCTAATCAGCGCTATGTAAAACATGTCTTAAAAGCAGCGTGGAGAAGATGCAGTAGCTTTGAAGCTGCGTTGCAATTACGTGGAGAGTGGGCAAGCAGCGTCCTGGCTGGTTTTATTTGAGCTCCATGTCCCAATAAAACAGCCCCCGCCCTCCCTTCCTCCCCCATCCCGCAATTATTGAAAAGCTGAGCACGAAAAACAAAAATACCGAAGGCCAAAAAAACAGACGGCAGCGCACCAGCTCCAAAGGTCTGGCCCCTCGCTTGAGGCCATAATTAATTTGAGATTTATTTTTATTGGAGAACCCAGTCTCGTCTGACCTTAGCCAAACAAGACTCCAGCTAGACCCTTGATGCGCTTGAATGGAACAGAATATTTCTCTCTAACTTCTCTTCAGGCATCTGTGCCTGCTTTGAATTTGTTCCTCAGACTTCATATATTTGGAGATTTGCAGGAAAGATTTTAAGCATTTTTCCCCTTCAGCATTCACTTTTTCTTCCCGTTTTGCTCCCCTTTCTCGCCACATAGGGCTGGAAACGCATATGGAAGGCTGGAATACAAAATCCACCAGTTCCAACATAGTGGTGGGGGTCGTTTTTCTGTAAATCGTGAAAAAAACGGAGCCATTAGAAGGTCGCAGAGCTGAGGAGGGATTCGGCTGCTTAAATGCTGGTATTCGGAGGGACGGAGTCACCGAGTGTAAAATCTTGTCCCCTGTGCCCGAGTGTGGTTCATTTTAGAAAGTCTCAGCGTGACACATTTCCAGGAGAAACGACGTTTCTCCTACAATTTCTACTGAAATCCAAATAGTATCTTCAAAGTAAAGAAGGAGAGAAGCAATGCCAGCCTTTACCCACGCAGCGCTTGCCTTCAGCACGGGTAAAAAACAGGCAGGATTTGTTGGGCACCAGGAAATGGAAGGGGATTTTGTCTCTTTAAAACAGAGAAGCGGCTGCAAAAAAGAGCTAAATCCTTCAGCGGCAAGTTGTCGGGATGCACTGCTGAAGTCTAACAAGGCGTTACTGCCTCAAAATGAGAACGGTGCATACACACATCAACCATCACTCCGTGTGAGAATGACGTAGGAACTGATGGAAGCCCATACCCGCAA